TTTGGTCGGTTTCGCTGGGCAGCTGATGGCCAGGGTGGTTTCGGCGGTGGCTGGTTCGGTGGAGGCTAAGGTTGGGGAGAAGGTTAGGGTTTGGGGTAGGGTTAGTGTATGGCTCTGATACCAACTTGAAATAATTGTGAGTAAAAGGAGATACTCAAATTAAGAGTAAAACTCCGTATATATAGGCAAAATATAAAAATCATAGTAAGGGTAAAAAAGGGAAAAGAAATCCTAATAAACCTAGACTATCTATACTCCAACAAGTAATAAAACCTGAATTCTCCAATTCGCAACGGGTAGGTTTGGTTGATTTTGCTATAAATGTAGTGCATAGCGAAGATTCGAGATTGAAACAAAAAGAGGGGAAGTTAGTGAGGAGAGGAGTGGATGGGAAATATCCATTGGTGATGATGAGCGTGGATTTGTTGTAACTGTCTGAGGTATATGGAATTGTTGTGTAACTTTGTGGATGTTATATAGTCCACAAATGATTCAAGAGTTCTAGGAATTGAGTACATCAAACACTTCTGAGTCTTGATATCAAATTTTTTTTTAAGGGGTAAGTAGGAGGATATGAAAGAGTGTGGATTTCTCTACTATGATGTTCACTCATCAAACATGTTTTTCTAATTGCTCATGACAAATCCTTGAAGGTAGACCTTGTTTGAGACATGACCATGAACAAATTTTAGTCCAAAATTCTTAAACAGTTGCACGATTTGTAGGATCTACATCTACTTTAATATACACTAGCTAGCGCCCATGCCCGAAAACACCGTATAACCAAAAAAAAAAAAAAGTCTAGAGAGAGAGAGATGTATATTTAAAGTATCCAATACTCATAAGATTCAACAAAAACAAATGCAACGCTGCCAAATTCCTGGCTCAAAAATCCAATGAAACTATAGACTAAACATTGAACCAACACACATTCTGCAAACCAAGAAATTGAGTTCGGAACATCTGAGTGCCATTAAAAACTAAACCAAATTTCCATATAAAAATAGACATACTTATAGAACATATTACACACATACATGGACAAAGGGGGAAAGAAATGCTACCAAGACAGGGTGATGTGTGTGAGTTCCCAGCAAATAGCATCTCTACATCCATTACAAACCCCACAAGCCACTGAGTGCTAAGAATTAAGCTTTTCCTTTGAATAGTCAAAAATACAAAAGTTTCAGAATTCATTCGAGCACAACCAGAAAATTAATTCCCTTAGATTCACCAAAATAAATAATCATGAGGACGTATGAAAAAAAAATAAGCAATTCACTACCCGTTAGAAAAAAGCATAAACCTGGTGCTCTTGAATTTTAGCGCTAGTAGACCATGAAAAAAAATAAAAGTTTCTGTATTCATTTTAATGAAAAGTTCAGTATTACCATTTCCAATCCTCATGGCCAAATCGAAATCTGCAAGCTTCATCTTCTCAAAAGTGATAGGAAGAATATTCTCAAGCTTTATATCCCTAGGTAAAACCCCACATCATGACAATACTTAATCACCAACATCAATTCCTTAGCCGATACTCAGAATACTACCCCTCCTTGGCTATTTGATCAATCAGCCTCTTCTCGACAACAACTGGAATACTTGCATACATGTTCATGATAGCTAATGTTAGGATTGAGTAATGATCATTGGCAGCCTGCATACTCTGCCAATTCAACATTGCTTCGCAAGCATTATTGCCAAGATGGTAAACACAATAACTTCATGCACTTTTCTAGCTTTGCAAATCTCAATTACACTTCCTTTTTTGGAAGCAAATAAGATATCACTCTTAGTACACTAATTGGAGTTGTGAAACTAATTGGGGTTTGGGGTTGCCTCGACCAAGCCAAGATGCACTAATCATGGATTGGTAGTACAATATTGCACTACTTCATTGGAGATTTCGATTTTCTTTAATCCACAATGACCAAAAAACTAAGCTCACCATACACACACACACAGACTAATCTCGCATCTTGCCTCAGCAACATAACAAACAACAAACAATCAGCAAGGGAAGAGCAAGAAGAACAACAATATATGCAGTACATTTCACTTAAAAAAAATATCGAGTCACGAAGTACACACGCAGCTCCTAAAGCTCAAGCACTAAAAATGGAGTTACCTGATCTGTACCCCTGAGTTCCAAATCCTATTTTAATTTCAAAACCAAAAAACTTACGACAACAGAAAAATATGTGCACAACCGCATACATTTCTGGCAGACAAAAAATAAAAATACTCCACACGCTGGTCTAGTAAAGTCCACAGCGGATCATCTGTAAAACAAAAAATTCAAAAATTATAGCGAAAAAAACTGAATGAAGCTGAAATTAAGTCAAATTAAAGAAGCGAATGGACAAAACCGCAGCCACTGGCAAGGAAATCATTGAACACGATATACTTTCTTTTTCATGTATGCGTGTTGAAGACAGAGAGAGTGGGAGAAAGGGGGGACCTGGGCTGTGTGGTCGTCGACGGTAGGTTGGCCGGTGGTGGGCTTAGCCATGGCAAGGAACAGATGGTGTGGAGCATAGTTATCGGGATAGTTCATGCGATTCGTATGGTACGATATATTTTTACGATATATCGATTTTGTACGATACCGTTCGATATATGATATATTTTTAAGATACGTATTGATATGATATGCACAATATGCATTGTCGTCGCTGTTTTTTTTTTTTTTTAACTGTAATGATGTCGTTTTTTTTTTTAAAGTGAATTTTTTTATTTCTATAACCACTTAAACAACGTTATTTCAATGGCTAAAATTTATTAAAAAAAAAAAAAATTCTCTTTTTACTCTCTATTCTTCATTCTCTTGTCTCTATTTTTCACGACAACAAAACACAAACACCCTCCACTCTTTCTCTCTCCTCTTTGTCGTGACGACAAACCCAACCCTTTTTCTTTCTTTTCTCAATTCTTCACGACAATGAAGCCCATTGTCTATAAACCCTTTGTTTTTCACGATGACTAGCACACTCTATTTCTTCTCTCTGTTCTTTATCGATGAAGCCCTTTGTTCCTCTCTCGATGAAACCCATTCTCTCTCTTCTCTTTGTTCTTCATCGACGAAGTCAGTGAAACTTGCGAAGCTATCAAAGTAGCAGCCAGCCAAGCAATCAAAGCCTCTGAAAATCTAGATCTACAGTTGCAGCTGCCTTCTTCTTCGTTCTCCGAGAAAACCTATGTAAGAAATGCTATTAATTTACAAAGTTAAATATTTTTTATTTTTTTTGTATCAAATTTTTGGAATCTTGATTAATGTAAAGGGTTAATTATAAATTGTACCCTGAAAGATCGTTCAAATCTCAATTTACACCCTTAAAAATTAAAAATCTCAATTTGTACCATCAAAAATAGAAATTTGTATCAATGTGCATCCCCAAAGATCAAAAATATCAATTTGCACCTTCAAAGATAAAATTTTGTATCAATGTGCACTCTCAAAGATCAAAAATCTCAATTTGCACCCTCAAAGATAAAATTTTGTATCAATGTGCACCTAAAATTAAATTGATAAATTATACCTAAATCCCTTTATACTTGTCACTTAATCATTTGAACCCCTTCACAGATAAAATATTACTCCTACATCTTATGACGTTTGTGCACGTGTAACATGTAACCCCTTTTCGTTAATATCTGTTAATATAACTGTTTTTTATATGATTTTATTATAATAAAAAATTATAATTTTATATTATCCTTTATTTTATGAGTCCAATATACTCTGAAGTTCAAAATCAAGTTTATCATTTGAATGTCTAATAGAATAAAAGGTTGCACATTGAGTGATATATTGCATTGAATATAAAAAATATTATATAAATATCTACATTCTATTAGACATTCAAATGATAAGTTTGATTTTGAACTTTAGAGTATATCAGACTCACAAAATAAAGAGTAATATGAAATTATAATTTTTTATTAAGATAAAATCATATTTTTTTAACGATTATATTAACATATATCAACGAAAATATGTTATGTATTACACGTGTACAAATGTCATGAGATGGAGTAATATTCAAAATGTGAAGAGGTCCAAATGATTAAGTGACAAACATGAGGGGATCTAGGTATAATTTATTAATTTAGTTTTAAGTGCACATTGATACAAATTTTTATCTTTGAGGGTGAAAATTGAAATTTTTATATTTGGGGGTACACATTGATATAAATTTTTATCTTTTAGGGTGTAAATTGAGATTTTTGATCTTTAGAGATACACATTGATACAAATTTCTATCTTGAGGGTGCAAATTGAGACTTTTGATCTTTGAGAGTCTAAATTGAGATTCGAACTATCTTTCGAGGTACAACTTACAATTAACCCTAATGTAAAATTGTTAATTTTTTGAAGCAATTAATGTTAGTGGAAACTTTACATTTTAATATTAGTGAATTATGTTTGTGACTTGAATAATTAGTGAAATATTAATACTTTATTTTTACGAGTTGAATTTTTTTTTCAAAGGTATATATATTTTATTATTATTTATTTAAAATTATGTCGTATCATACAATACACAATATACGATACGTGATATGATATAATACACTATTTTTGAAAAATGATTTATCTTCCGATATACGATTTGATAATGATGAAAGAGAGACCCGAGAGGTGCTGAAACGGTGCCGTTCCCGTGCTACCTCTTATTTGTGGGTCCATGACATGAAACGGTGCCGTTCTCATTAACAACTGCAGGGTAACCACACCCAGATTTCTCATATCCGTGAAAAGATGGTAAAGCTCAATCGTGCGGTGGATAACGAAGAGAATATTCCGGATCTGGCTCATTGGACGATACCTCACGACTTTTACTATAGTCCCGCCCACTCCTAAAAATCCCAAGAACATAAGCGGGCAGAGCCAAACCACCTTTTGAGTCTCTCTCTCTCTCTCTCTCTCGCTCGCGTTTTTGGTGGAATCTGGAACAGCAGACACCAGGTGGAGATTCATCGTTCTTTCTCTCAGCTCAGAAAAGGTGATCTGAATTTCTTCTCCGATGATCCCTTTGTTGCTTGAATTTATCATTGAATTTGTGCTCGATCTGCTTTTCGTATGTTTTTTGATATTGTAAGAAATTGCTTGATCTTATAAATGTATAATTCAAGTATATGCTTAATTGGGCGCTTAGACATAGATTTTGCGGCTGCGGAGATATTCTTTACCATCATGTTCGAGTGCATGTACGGAAATTGAACGATCGCCTCGTCTGTCTGCTGGTGATCCGTATTATACAAAGAAATTTATCGTCGTTTTTTCATGTCGTCGTGTAGTGTTGATGTCTGTGAAATTTTTTTCCCTGAATTCTTGAATTGGCTCTCTGGACTTCAGAAATTTCTTATTTTTCGTTAATTTCTGTAAAGGTGCTTACGTTCATTTGAGCATATGTAGCCCCAATTGGCTTGGTGTCAAGTAATTGGAAAATTGTTTGCTTTTCAATTACTATGTAACTGGAAAATACTTTGTTTTCTTTAATATTTGTTTGTTCTGTAAGTTCTTTTTTAGGTAAATTTTGAAACGTGTTTAGGTAAATCAAATCATAGACAAATTTAAAGAATGAAAATTTTCTAATAAACATTTTTGGTTCGAGTGGTTCTGTCATCTGCACAAACAGCTGTATTGAAGAGCAAACCAGGAAGGGAAAAAAATGAGACTTCCTACCTGTACTCAATGTCAAGAGTCAAGACCACCATGATTTTTCGTAATGCAGATTTGTAGTGCATAAACATGGTAACACCCCCTTCTCCCTTCATTTTTTAATAGGTAAAATAATCTCTACTACACTTTCATGTCCTGATTAATGGTTGTCACAAATGGATCAAAGAGGACATTGGATAAAATTGTTTGAGCAACTCTGTTGTGGGTTTTTGTAAGTGTATCTGCACTCGTGTTGAGAGATGATTCTTTCCATTATTATATAACTATATGCTTTTGTAATTTTCACTGTTTAGAAACTACTGAAAAATGATAATTGTGCAAAGATCTCTGTGTCATCAATCATTATTCTTATACTTTTGCCACTTCCTTTTACTTGAATCATCATGCTTAATGATTTTCTGTCCATTTCTTTTTCGCTGGTTAAGCATAAACATACTCCCTTTATCTTTTGAAGAACAAAGCCAGGGAATGCTGAAAGATGTATGTGAGTGTTCAGAAACCCTTCTCTGAAGCAGTTGAGGATTTGGCCTTACCAGAGCTGCCTTTCTTCATCCTTCATACTTGGCATATGAATTACAGTTCATTTTCTTCCCATGTCCAAATGGACAACAGTCCTACATGTTGTAAAATGCCGGTTATGTCAATGAACAACCTGTGTGAAGACGGTTGACTTGCTTTGCTCCTCAATACTCCTGCACTGTAGATTATATTTGTCGAATTAGCAGGAGCGAGTATAGTGTTATACATATTGGGATTTTTAGCATTGAAATGGATAACAAAGGGAGTGTGTTGATGGAAAGATATGAGTTGGGGAGATTACTAGGCCAAGGGACGTTTGCAAAGGTCTACTATGCAAGAAGTCTCAAAACTGGGCAGAGTGTGGCCATTAAAGTAGTAGACAAGGAAAAGGTTTTGAGAGTTGGACTCGTGGATCAGATCAAGCGAGAAATATCTGTCATGAGACTTGTCAGACACCCTAATATAGTGCAACTTTTTGAAGTCATGGCCACCAAAGCCAAGATCTATTTTGTCATGGAATATGCTAAAGGCGGTGAGCTCTTTGATAAGGTGGCTAAAGGAAAGCTAAAGGAGGATGTTGCTCGAAAATATTTTCAGCAGCTGATCAACGCTGTTGATTTCTGCCACAGCAGGGGTGTCTATCACCGGGATTTGAAGCCAGAAAACTTGCTATTAGATGAGAATGAGAATCTGAAGGTTTCCGATTTTGGGTTAAGTGCCTTTGCTGAATCAAAGCGCCAAGATGGGCTGCTTCACACAACTTGTGGGACCCCTGCATATGTTGCTCCTGAAGTGATTAACAGGAAAGGCTATGATGGAGTCAAAGCTGATATTTGGTCATGTGGGGTAATACTATTTGTTCTATTGGCTGGTTATCTTCCATTCCATGATTCAAATTTAATGGAGATGTATAGGAAGATAGGCAAAGCAGAGTATAAATGTCCCAATTGGTTTCCACCTGAAGTACGCAGGCTACTGTTGAGAATATTGGATCCAAATCCAACAACTAGAATCTCGATCTCAAAAATTAAGGAGAATTCTTGGTTCAAAAGGGGATTGAACTCTAAACCAATAAAAACTGATACAGTGAACAAAGAAATGGCTTCTTCAAATGCAGATGCAGCTTCTAGTTCCTGTGGAAATAGTGCTGTGGCTGCTCAAGATAAACAAGAGTTAGTGAGGCTTTCAAACTTAAATGCGTTTGACATCATCTCCCTGTCTGCTGGCTTTGATCTATCTGGACTGTTTGAAGAACCTTGTCTGAAAAAAGAAGCAAGATTCACATCCTGGCAACCTGCCTCAGTTATCATCTCTAAACTAGAAGAAGTTGCTAAACGTCTGAGACTAAAGATGGGGAAAAAGGATGGAGGGCTGCTAAAGTTCGAGGGAACAAAGGAAGGTAGGAAAGGAATCTTGTCAATTGACGCAGAGATCTTTGAGTTCACTCCCTCCTTTCATCTGGTGGAGCTCAAGCAATCTAGGGGAGATACATTGGAATATCAGGAGCTGATGAAAGAGGGTATAAGACCTGGTCTTCAAGATATTGTTTGGGTTTGGCAAGGTGAGCAACACCCAGAGCAACCACCACAAGAACAGCATCAGCAACAACTATCACAGGACGAGTCACAACAACTATGACCACAGAAGCAACCAACAATTACATAAACACCTGATGCAGCAGGAGCAGTGACCTTCATTGCCAAAGATGGCAAATTCTTCAAGTTTGTCTATTCTATACATTTTCCTAATCTTCCTTTCTTGTGAATAGTTATGATTGTCTTTATTTGTATCATTTCTCAATCAAATAAGCTTGTCCTAATTTTGGCCTGTGTGGTTGATAGCTTCCCTTTTTTTTTTCTTCCTCATATTGCCATTCTGTAGTACAATTTTTGTGGCTGGTTTGCAACCTGCCTACTTATTAGGGTACACAATATATCTTATAGACGTGCATGAAAATTGTGGATACGATTTACAACACGACAACCCGTAATCCACATATTGCCATAGGTCATCAGTTCATAAATCCATTGGGTAGACCACCTCTGCCTGCCAACTGCTGCTCCTGCGAGTGCAAATCGCTAACAACAGAGAATGTTTTTCCTTAATGACAACATTTTATTCCAAAACGAGACATAAGTGTTGTCCTGCTTTTTGCATTAATTTTATTTATGTGCCAGATATTACACAACTAAACAAAAATGGGTGACTTCGTCAAGTCAATGATCTCGGGACAAATAGTAGAGAATCTTCTCTTCTTGCTGCCTGAACTAGTATTGTAACAAGGCGAGGGAGTGAACAGATCTATAACCTCAGCTTCACATGAGGTAGTAGACCTCTTGATTGCATGTTGATCTTTTTCAGCAGCTATTGTGGTAGTTAAAGGAATGGGGGATGGCGAATCCAACTCAAAACTACTCTCTTCAATCAATCTGAACATATCCCCATCTTCAACAGTGGCTGTCGTGCTATGAGGCCTGGCAAGAGACGATGAAAATGCTCTCACAGGGGAATAACTATGGCAAAACAGCTTCCTAAGACTTGCGCTTCTACAGGATGAGTCCCTTGCCTGTCTCTCGCCAAATTCTTCTGCCCCTCCAAACTGTTCACCAGTATTTTCTTCAATCCATCCCATTTGTTCACGAGTATTTTCTTCAATCCATCCCATTTGTTCATGAGTATTTTCTTCAATGCTATTATGATTATCTGCTGAACTATGATTTGTTTCATGTGATGATCCTTCTGCTATGTATCCCTGGAATCCACTAGTTCCATCACATTCTCCATCATCATCCAACTCACCATTTTCATGATCATTTGACTCACTTCCTCTGTAACAGGGAAGCTCATCCATGGAACAAACTTGGACCTTCATGTGCTTCGGTAAACTTGGACAACCAGCTGTATGCTTTTGGTATTTCGTGGTAAAGAAATTAAATGTGAGCTTCAAGCTGATCACATGTAGCAAAAATGTAAGCAACTTTACAAAAAAACTATTTGAGTCAAAAGAATATCCTCTTCATTCACAGGCATGAGAAACAAATGTCATCATACCTCTGCCAGGCAGGAAGGGTAAGCATTGTGTATGCCAATTTAATCTTATTGGTAAGTCCTGAAAGGGACTTAAAAGTTGCTGCTGCCTTTCTTACTGCCAGAGATTCTACTGGGTGCTGCCAGGCCCACTCAAACTGCAAGTTGCAATTGAGCATTCAGTACTGTTAATACCAAGCTATTTGGTCCATAATATTGAATCCCAACTAAGCAAATCACAGTAATAGGATGGGGCTTTGTCAAGCTAGTATTATACCATAAGAGATGAGTTCAATTACAAATAAACTTGTGCAGTGTAATAAGCATTGTGTATTCTTATAGTACCAATTCTATATGTAATGGGTCATGCCTAGTTTCTTAGTCATGGTCTGTCAAAATTTATTCAATCCATAATCGCCTCATTTATACGTGGCCAAGTTTGACTCGTGCTTAGCCAAATTTGTGCGGGCTCGTTTAATACATATTTGTGTTGGCCCATTTACTATACAATTCCGATCAATCCCATTCAAATTAAACTCATACCCACTAATTTTGTGTATGAATTGAGGGGTTGTGTTAACAATCGCTAGCTTACTGATAAACACTTGGTCATGCACATGGTATCAATGCTTTATTTCATATCAATGGCTACAGTTCATGGATAACAAGCACTGATACACCCAGGAAAGAGGGTTCCAAAAAAACAAGGGCTGGCAACAAGTCGAAACTGACTAGTTCCAATGATGGCTGATTATAAGGAACTTAAAAGAAAATAATGTACCTGAAGAGCGGCTACATGGGTGGGGAAGCCATATATGCACAATACCATTTCCCAAGGGCGCTTATTCTTGGTCCTCCCGGCACCGGACCTGATTTCCCCATTATGCTGCCTAATTCTTCGGCGTGGATTCACTGTGAATCTACAATTTTGGGACAAAGAAGATCCAAAAAATTCATTAAATTACCGAATCGGTAAGAGCAATCAGGGAAAAAAAAAACCAATTCTGATGCCAATTAGAGCACAAAACAGTCCAATTAGTGAACAAGAACGCTGGAAACAGACTTTTTTTTTCATCCTCCATGAAGCAGGAACCCTAAATAAAATGGGTAAACATGACGGGAAAGAAAAGCCCTCAAAACCCTAATCTCATATAAAGAAATAAGCCAGACGAATATGACCATGATCAGAGGTGAAGTGGCTGAAATTGAAGAAGCTCTAATTTCGAAAAAAACAGAAATTAGAAAGAAGAGAGATGAATTAAGGATATTTTTGTGACGAACCCGATGTAAGTGGAGCGTGTGTGCCTGGGGCTTAGAGAGGTCAGCAGATAGCATGAGAAGAACCTTCCTCCCTTCTCTTTCTCTCCTCCAACTTCTTCTACTTCTCCGACTCTTTCCTCATCTTTCTGCCCTCCTCTACGAATTATGGTTTCTGGGTTCTCCGTTCTTTTTCTTCTTCCCATCTCTCTCTCTCTATCTGATTCCTCTCTTCATCATAAAATTTGACCGTTACGATATTATGAATGTCTCTATTTACAATAGGGTGAGTTACACTTTATATCCCAAAAGATATTATAACTTTTAATAATAGTCGTATGTGGACTATTTCGAACATCAAATATTATTTATTAAATTTGAGAGGAAAGAAATTTATTCTAAATGATTTTGAGAGTGATAATAGTGGTCATTAGATGAACTAATTTGAAATTATTGGATTTGTTTGTTGAAATCGTTCTGTTTTATATTATAGATTTGACACAAATAAAAAATAATATTTTATAATTTTTAATCTCTTTACAAACTCTATATTTTACTAATTTTTGATTATATATTTCATAATTTTTAAACTAAAGGAAGTTCCCACAAATCATACCAATACTCTAATGAATCAATTTTAATTTGTTAATTTTAAGAGATTTGGTATGTACTTTTTTTTTTGTTTTTTTTCCTAGTACCTAACTTGTTTGACCCAATTAATTTTTTTTTATAAATCATTACGATGGGCCCAATTAAAAATATATAAAAATATATATAAAACATATATAACTAAAAAAAAAAAATTTGAGGTGGCCCTAGGCCCCTCTTCCACCCACCACTGCCAGAAAAGAGAAAGAGAGTGGAGAGTGAGAAGAGAAAGATAAAATTCAATCTAAATAGTTTTGACAGAGATGTTGTTGGCTATTGGATGAATTTATTTGAGACCGTCAGATAAATTTATTGAAATCTTTCCTATTTTATATTATAGATAAATCCATAAAATATAATAGAACTGACTTAAAAAACATTAATTTATATACATGTAATCAAAATCGAGTCAAATCTAATATAAACTAAAAATCTAATTTAACAAAAAACATATCGCCAAAAAAGTTCTACAAATATTATTTATAAATATTATTTTTTTAATTAGTATAAGTTATTACAAAATTATTAATTTATAAGAATATCTTTGCGTTGGGTTTTCTTAAGAGATTAAAAAAAAATTAGTTTTGAACTTTTGATTCAAGATATGTGTAGGATATGTTAGTTTAAGATAATTAATTAAATAAATAAAATTAAAATTAATTATATTCAATATAAATGTGTTAAGCAGTGCCCTTGTTTTTTTTATCTGCTAAATTGATGAGTTTTTTATATTCAAAATGTTATCATTGTGTTTTATAAAAACTCAAAATGTTAGATGATATTAGTAGAAAATTTGACTCATTTAATTATTATGTCAAAAAAAATCATTTGTTTCAAGATCAGTCGTAATCGTTGACCGGTTGGGGGGAAATATTAAGGAAAAAAATGGTAATTTATTGACCGTTGGATAAATGAATTTGAGATCGTAGGATGTGTTCCAAGATCAGCCGTAATTGTTGACCGGTTAAAGGGATTATTAAGGGGAAAAAAAAAAGTTAATTTGTTAACCGTTTGATGAATTGATTTGAGACCGTTAGATTTGTTTGTTGAAACCGCCCTATCTTTTATTATAAATTTGACACAAATAAAAAGTAATATTCTATAATTTTTAATCTTTTTACAAATTCTATATTTTACTAATTTTTAGCAATATATTCCATAATTTTCGATCTAACGGAGGCTCCAACAAATCATATCAATACTCTAAGTAATCAATTTTAATTTGTTAATTTTAAGAGATTTGGTATAGACTCTTTTTTTGTTTTTTTTGTAGTACCTAACTTTTATGACCCAATTAATTTTTTTTATAAATCATTACAATGGACCCAATTAAGAATTCCAAAAAAATATATAAAACATATATAACTAAAAAAAAAATTCAAGGTAAGCCCAGGGCCCTCATCCACCTGCCACTGCCAGAAAAAAGAGAAAATGGAGAGTGAGAAGAGAAAGGTAAAATTCAATCTAAATAATTTTGACAGAGATGTTTGTGACCGTTTGATGAATTTATTTGAAACCATCAAATGAACTTATTGAAACCTTTCCTGTTTTATATTATACATAAATCCACAAAATATAATAGAATTGACTTAAAAAAATATTAATTTATATACATGTAATCAAAATCGAGCCAAATATAATATAAACTAAAAATTTAATTTATCAAAAAACATATCGCCAAAAAAAATCTACAAATATCATTTATAAAATATTATTTTTTTTCATTAGTACAAGTTATTACAAAATTATTAATTTATAAGAAAATATATTAACGTTAGGTTTTCTTAAGAAATAAAAAAAAATTAGTCTTAAACTTTTAATTCAGGATATGTGTAGGACATGTTAGTTTGAAATAATTAATTAAATAAATAAAATTAAAATTAA